TTATTCACCCCCCGGAGCCGTGTGAGGCACGTTTTATTACGGATGCGCGTGCTTTATTTGACTACTTTTGGACTGTCAAACAAAAACACCTGCCTACTCCCATTCTAACGCTTGGAAGAGCCAGGACAATTTTTACAGTTTTTCTCGATTGTTAACACACTATAACTGATTAATTTGGCCCAATTTTCCAAACCATTCATATAGTTCTCGAAACAAAGACACATTTCTCAAAACTTTTAACACATTTCACCTGTTTGCACACACGTTCCAATTTGCTCAGTGTTTTCTGCAAAACTCTACACAAAAACACTATCATTTTGCACGTTTATCCATGTTCTCATTCAGAAAACACAAACACACAATATAATTAACTCAAGCATCAAAAAATGAACTCAAACAGCGCACATTTATCCATGTGTGAACATTAAGCAGCAAAACTGATGACACACCAGTCAGAATCTTAGGATGATATAAAAAGGAGCACAAGTGATTATGAGTTTTGGAAAATGAATCCTGGTAGTGGGAAACAAAGAGGAATAGGAGGGGAAAATAAAAATTAAGGGGATGAGGTCAAAGGTAATTTGTTCCTGATGAAATACAAAGCACTATAGTTGACCATGTTCTTCTGCATGGACTGACCATGATGGAAGTTGGCCTACAGGCTCATCTAAAAGGTTTCAATATTACTTACAAAATACACATACAATATAATTACAGTACATAGCAGCAGTACTTCAGATGAAAGAACTTTCATTATTCTATGTACAGTAAACACTGTAGCACATGTTGTACACCCTCAAACTCAATACTGTTGAATTGATTTGTAGCCAAGTAGCCCTTAACATGTGCTCTATTTTTGCAGAACTGAGAGACGGCTGTCTAGGGAAGGCAGAAAAGTCTTTTGTCAGAAGACTAAGCAACTACAGAACAGTTTTTCTGAATTGCTAAAATACTAAACTCCAATCTCTGAACCAAATTCTCACTAGCTTAAACCAATTTGTCGAATAAAGCACTCTTTCTTCTAAACCTTAAACACATTCAGGCAGTTAGGCTCTATTTGCAAATCTCATGCACTCTTTTTGCAAAACGCTAAACAAATTCTCATTCACTTAAACACTTATCACACTGTGATGCATTTGTGCTGCAAAATGCTAAACACAAGCGGCAAAAGTTAAACACAACTAAAGCACAGTTGTCATCGTTTACACTTGTTTCTAATGATGTGATCAAACCAACTGTACAAAATAGTGACACAAAGACATGCACAAAGACATGATGCTGAGAGCACAAAGACATGATGCTGAGACAGAATGAATCTCTCCTTGACCCTGATTTTACAATTGCACAACTTACAGCATTTGAGTGTACTGTAACATGCCATTCATTTAGTTTTATTTGACCTTTTTGGCCTTTGCAGTTGGACTGCATTATTTTTGCAGTATCCAAGTGCTGAATATATACAATTTAGTTCAGTATTATTCAATATTCAGCACAATACTATTCTTGCATCACATACAGTAGGCCTATACAATATATTCGCCTTTCTCAGTTGCAATTACTATACTTTTTTACAGAATTGTAAAAAAATTTACTCAATACAATATACTTTTTTTGTGTAATGTTCTGGATGATGTGTTCTCCATTTTTCTCTGTAGTGTCTAATGAATGCTCTGTAGTGTTTATTTTATTGACTCATGTGTGTATGATCTAAGAGCACTGTTTGATTTTGAGTAGGGATGCACCGATACCACTTTTTCCAGTACTCGCCCGATACCGATACTTTTATTTTTGGTACTTGCCGATACCGAGTACCGATACCGATATTTTTATTGCATTTGTACATTTTTTAAATATTGGGTATAGGAACCAAAAGGGTATGTATAATGTTAGTTGGTTAACTTCATTTATCAAATAGATACAGTCAAGCCAAAATTTACTCAGACACCTTCAACATTTCTCACATTATCACAGTTTATTCGCTATAGTTTAGAAAATGGTAATAAAATATGACAAGAACTCAGAGTTACACTGTGTCAGAACAAATTCATCTTGATAATGTTAGATAATTTTGATAGAAAGGTATGTAATAGATTACAATCAACCAAAATAATTCAGACAAAATCTCCTAACTGTGATATTTTCAGAAATAGAAGTCGCGTTTTTTCATCTGAAATGTGCTGCGATTTATATTCTAAAGCTTCTCATATAATGCAGAAACACTCAAGCAAGCAAAACACGCGCAACGCGTGCAGGTATTTGTACTGATGCAGAATGAGAGAACAGTAGTACAGCCTAGCGCATTTCACACAGGCTGTTAGTTTGACTTTCGCCAGAAAGTGGTGTATGCCTACGGTTGAAAATAAATTATGTTTATAGTGAATGCCCCTATGAATGGTTTTATTTTTACGATTTAGTTTTAATCCAAATGATGCGTGTGCTAAGTGAGTGAACATCAAAGATCACACAACAGAAGTGCGCGCGCGCTCTTTCTCTCTCTCTCGCTCTCTCTCTCTCCCTACCATTAAGTAACTTATGCATTGTTTTACTTACTTGTTTTTGACATATCCGACCGAACTACAAACTTTCCAGTGATGTCTGTGAGAAAGATATATTCACTCGACAAGCTCGCGCATCTGCGCCGCCGTGCGCTCAATCCACTCAGTGTGCTTTGTTTATCAGCTCGCGCATATCAGCTATACAGGCGTTAATACTGAATGTTTAACATTATATTCATTGCATACATATACTTCGTAGTAGACATCCTTATCTCCTTTCTGCTGTCTGTTGTTCTGTTGTCGGTGTTCCTTTGTCTGAATATGGCGCTTATCACATGCTGTGTGGTATCGGCGTTTGGTATCGGGGCATTTTAACGAGTACGAGTACGAGTACAGGAGACCAGTATCGGTGCATCCCTAAATTTGAGTGCTAGTGAAATGGTTTTGCAGTGATCATTTGATTTTGATGATGCAGTCAGAGGTTTCGTGAATTTAGTTTGAGTATTTGGATTTGTGTTTAAGGTTTTGAGAAAACGAGTGATGGTTTCAAGAAATATGTTTTAGCAATTCAGAAAAACTGTAAAACACAAAAAGTGATTAAGTCAAAAAATGTCAGCGAAAGCAAACAAAAATATTCTTGGCTATGAATATTCACCAAACACAATATTTCAGTAAATTACAGGAGCTCAGTATTACGCCTCATGCAGTGTGAATTTAAAGTGTGATTTGCTTATACTCTTTGGTGTCTGACTACACTCACGTGATGAAATCCATGAAGCTGGCCAGAGGCTCATAAGACTGGTTCCTCATATGGCGGAACTCAACCACCATCTTCTCTTTCAGCTTGTCATCAATGACGGAGACAGTGAGGGGAGAGGCTTCATTGGCCAGGAAGCTTCCATAGTCAGTGCTCTGCAAGTGAAGCTTCAGGTCTGAGGAAACAAAAACAAGAAAAACCCTTAATGATTAAAAAAAAAATTAAACAGATGTAATCTGTAAACCCAAAACCTCATTCTTCAGTGTTACAGTGGGGAAAATATTTATTTGATCCCCTGCTGATTTTGTAAGTTTGCCCGCTTATAAAGAAATGAAGGGTCTGTAATTTTTATGGTAGGTTTATTTTAATGGATAGAGACAGAATACCAACCAAAAAAATCCAGAAAAAAAAACACATTATATAAAGGTTAGAGATTGATTTGCATTTCAGTGAGTGAAATAAGTATTTGATCCCCTACCAACCAGCAAGAATTCTGGCTCCCACAGACTGGTTATGTGCCCATGTGGAACAAAGATTAGTCCTGCCACTTTAAGAAGTTACTCCTAATGTCAGCTCGTTAGGTGTATAAGACAGCTGTCCACACAATCTGTATCTTCCATTTCAGCCTCTCCCACCACCATGGGCTAGAACAAAGAGCTGTCAAAGGATGTCAGAGACAAGAGAAATGGAAGAAAAACAAAATGACCATCAATTGGCCTCGGTCTGGAGCTCTGTGCAAGATCTTGCCTCATGGGGTAAGGATGATCAGGAGAAAGGTGAGGGATCAGCCCCGAACTACACGGGATGAGCTTGTTAATGATCTTAAGGCAGTTGGGACCACAGTCACCAAGCTAAACATTGGTAACACACTACGCCGCAATGGACTGAAATCCTGCAGCGCCCGAAAGATCCCACTGCTCAAGAAGGCACATGTACAGGTCCATTTAAAGTTTGCCAAAGGACATCTAAATGATTCAGAGAAGGCTTGGGAGAAAGTGTGGTCAGATGAGACCAAAATTGAGCTCTTTGGCATTAACTCAACTCGCCGTGTTTGGAAGGAGAGAAATGCTGCTGACTATGACCCCAAAAACACCATCCTTACAGTCAAGCACAGCATTGCATCACCGCATTGAGGGGCAAATGGACGGGGCCATGTACTGTAAAATCTTTAAACGAGAACCTCCTTCCCTCAGCCAGAACACAGAAGATGGGTCATGGATGGGTCTTCCAGCATGACAATGACCCAAAACATACCGCCAAGGCAACAAAGGAGTGGCTCAAGAAGAAGCACATTAAGGTCATGGAGTGGCCTAGCCAGTCTCCAGACCTCAATCCTATAGAAAATCTGTGGAGGGAGCTGAAACTTCGAGTTGCCAAACGACAGCCAAGAAACCTTAAGGATTTAGAGAGGATCTGTAAAGAGGAGTGGATCAAAATCCCTCCTGAGATGTGTGCAAACCTGGTGACCAACTACTGAAAACGTCTTACCTCTGTGCTTGCCAACAAGGGTTTCTGCAGCAAGTACTAAGTCATGTTTTGCTTGGGGATCACTTATTTCACTCACTGAAATGCAAATCAATGTCTAACCTTTATATAATTTGTTTTTTTCTGGATTTTTTTGGTTGGTATACTGGCTCTATCCGTTAAAATAAACCTACCATAAAAATTACTGACCCTTCATTTTTTTGTAAGAGGGCAAACTTACAAAATCAGCAGGGGATCAAATAAATATTTTCCCCACTATAAAAGGTTGTGTTCTGGCAGTGATTTCTATATTCATCTCAGAACTGTTTTTACATCATTTCCAGTTCCCTAAAACACAGACAAAAATTCCAAGTGAGTCACTTGCCATTGATTCTTAAATATTAAATGTATTATATTTCTAAAAAATATTGATTTAATTTAAATAATGCAAAAATCTTTGTTATTTTGAAAGGACTAATTTTAGGGATGCACCGATATGAACATTTTAGCAGATACCGATCTTCTTATCGGGCCGATACCAGAAAAAATGAGCATTTATTGGCCGATACCGATATGGTGGCCGATATATCGTGCATCCTAACTAATTTCATTGTAAAGTGTGAAATATTATGATATAATGCAGCACAGGTTGAACAAGTAAACAAAGGACATCTCAATCTGTAAGAAAGATCATAATCCTTAATAAATTTGTTATTCTTATTATTTATGCATTATAAGATCTTTAAAAGACTTCAAATCTAGGCAAAGTGTTAAGCAATTTGTTCTTGAGAATAAAATAAAGGTGCAATAAAAAAGGCATTAACAGTAAATTAAACAGCATGGTTCCTGCCAGGGAATGTATCTGATTGCATTGATATCATAAATGAAGCAAAGTTTCTCTCAATTTTACAGAATACAAGTAAGTTGGAAACATTAGAAAAAAGTAGCAACTCTGATTTTGTTAGAAATGCAGTACTTCTCAGAGAATAAACATGCTCCTTTCCAGTAAATGCTGTCAAAGATGTTTAATCTATGTTATGTATAAATTGCTTTATTTTAATCAAGAAGGCAAACTCTATAAAAGTTAAGTATAAATAAAAGTTTGGGCATAATATATATGTATATATATATA